AAAGCATAGTAGAGATGTCAGAATTAAAGAAAATTGCCTCTACCAGCTTCATTCAGGGAAACTGGCTTGGTTTGTAAGGAAAATTTTAAGTAGTTTATCCTCCAATAGATTCCTGTTTTATCTAAAAGTCTCCAGGCTTATTAAATCGTACATTTTATTTGTTGCCACTTAGTTCTGAAGCTGAAGCTCACAAGAGCATTTAAAGGCATTTGTTGGCTATCTCAGCCATAAGCTATGACTTTATACATCATTCTCACAGAGCCTGCCAATGGATGGGAGGGGGAAAAGACAAATCCAATGCCACAGGATCCTGATAATTCCAAAGGAAGACTTCCAAGGCACTTGGAAATGCAGCAGTAAGGATGACTTGGGTATTGAGCAATAAATAAGCAAGTTCAAGAGAGACAAAAATCAAGTTCAGTGCCGCAGGGTTTCAAAACAGAGTTAAAAAAAAATACTGGTTTGACATTTAGCAGCACTGCTAAGTCTGTTATTCTACATGAATGATTCTGTGATGAAATAAAGACAGGCTGGGCTCCCCCAGCACTTTTCCTAACAATCCTCTCATCAGTATTTTTTATCCTCTAAAAACTGGGAATACCTGCAATCCTCAGATTTATCTGGAAGTCAGAATTTCTCCTCAGTCATTTTGTATTAAAGCCCTGCAAAATTTCCTAACACAGGCAAAGTTTCTGCAAATAACTTCTGTAATTAAAAACTGCCTAAGATAATTCATATTTCCTAATGTTTTTATCATGACAGTCTTTTTTACTGGACGTTACTTTTAGAATGACACTAAATAATTTTTAAGTTTCTAACATAACACTGCCAGATAATTAACAATTAGGTTCCTTTAAAAAGAATAAAAATACTCATTAAATGAAATAAAAATGTATGGGATATTTAAAATTAACATTAGGTTTCTATTCTGGCTTTGTTTCTATTAAATCTGAGTTTCTTTCTGCTCTTTATTTTTAACAGTATAATTGGATAAACATTCCATGGATACACTTATGACTTATAGACATCAAATAGTTTTTGAAAAGTAAGTGGTTTAAGGTGGTATTTAAGCATATATAATTTTATCTGAAGCAGTGGGGATTTCTGAGGAGAATGTCCAGCCTGGAACTATCCAGAAGCCTAAAGATGCTGCTGCAGATCACTTCCCACTTTCCGTGCAAAAAGCCAATTATTTGCAATTCCCTGCAATATTTTAAGCCAATCCATCCATCCACAAAATCCTGTGTGCTCTTAATACGTGCACAGATGTTTCCAGCTGCACCTCCAAAGCCTTCCCTTGCTCTGGAAACCCAAGGACTGAAATCTGTGCCTTTCATCTGCATTTGGAACCTGCAAAGTTTAAGCCCCCTCTGCGTATTAACACATCCTGAATCTGCTTCTGTGTCATAAAACTGACAGAGATAAAATGGAAATTGCAAGGTGAGCTCCAGATCTCCTCTCCCCTCATTAACCAATCAGCCTGGAAATTCCACACTGTAATTCTCCTCCCAGGGCAGTGACTCTGCAGAGTTTGGGATGCAGAGTGAAGGTCCTGCAAAAATTTGTGCCACTTAACTGATGGTTTCCATAATTACCCAAAGATTTTATACCCACTCAAAGCTTCTCTGTGCATCACTTTTATATTATTATTATTATTATTATTATTATTATTATTATTTAGTTTATTTCCATATTCAGACATAGAGAGATGCTGCTAAAGGGTAATCAGCCACAAGTTTATAAAAAATCAAGGCTAAAAACTGAAAAACTAAGCTTGTGATTACTTAAATATTTAGTTTAGCAAACCAGCTCTTTGTTTGGAGTAAGTACAGATAAAAAGTTGAACTCTATTATCTGCATGTAATTGGCATCTGCAACTAAAATTCACATTCAAAGGCTTTATTACCCCCCTGACAGCACGAGCCATAAACTGAGGAACTCCAGCTCAGTAGTTTCTTCAAGTACCCAAAAACCCTGCAGAGATGATGCTGTGGCAGTGCCTAAATAAGGCAAAACACTTTGTCCAAACCAAAAATGAAACCAAACAGGAAATATTTTATCAACTCTTCCCTGTGAAGTGTTTAACTCACAACTGACTCTTTCCTCAACTGTTCTTTTATCAGCTGAGCACAGAGAGTTCCCCTCAGAGACACCAGGATCCGAGCAAGGCTTCAAAAACAAAATCGACTTCTTTTGGTTGTTGTCATTCCAAATCACAGATATCTCTAAAATTATTACTCCCAGCTACTGGTGGGAATAAAAAACTCTGGATCAGCTAAATCAATCAGGCCTGTGCAGTTGGGAAAGGGAGACAAGCAATTTGGTGAAGAATCAATTTATTGGCTATTAATGACGTGCTCAAAATTAACTGCAGAATGAAGTTCCCCATTTATCTACTCTGGGGAATATCTCCAGATTCCTGGTTTCAGCTGGGTTTGGACTCCATGAATTCCATGGGAAGTCATCCCAAACAAACCCAGCCCCCAAAAATGATGGGATTCAAGTGGGAGGTAAAATAATCTGAAAATTGAGACAGATCACAGACACTAATGAAATATCAAGCCAATACTTGAAAACAAATTGAATGTTAATGGATCCTGCTGTCAAATAACCAAGTGCCCAAAAACTCACTTTGACAACTCCAAGGAATCCTAAGAGATGGTGACTTTCAGAGCTGACAGCCAATTTTTGTAGCCTTTTTGGGTAAAAACATGGCTTTTTCAGACAGAGTTATTGAATATTTCAGGTCTTTGTGAATGCAGGATTTCATTTTTGCCACAATTTCTTTGGAGCTCAGAAACTCCCACTGGCAGATTTGGAACTAATGGCTGTAATGGCTGTTATGCTCTTGTATTTAGGGTTTCTTCTGGTCAACTCATTCATTTACCAGACTGTTGTGGAAAATTTGCTTCAAGGAATTCTGAAGTGCAGTTTGGGGTTCGACAGCAGTTTTTACAATAGATTTTAATGTGGTCCAGCTGCAAGCTAAAGGACCAGGTTCTGTATCTTAGCCAGCACTTTTTTCACTAACACAGAAAACTCCTGAAATTCAAATGTAGTTGATTTATTCCCCTCAAAATCTGTCCCTCATGAGTTAAGGGCACAGGGATAACTGATCTTATCCCCTACTCTGCTTTTATCTTCAGACCCCCCCTTAGAATTTCCATTTTATTCTCTCTTTTCCCCCAGAACAGGGACTTGGTCTCCTTGGTATCAGATCCTAGGCTTGTATGTATAAAATAACCAGTTGAAAACTGGGATCTGGCAAACTCAGATTCCATTATTTGAGTGGGTTTGTCCTGAATTTTCTCTTCTGTTTGCTTCTTCTACAGACTTTGCACTACATCAGTCACAGAAAAACTTCTTCCCCTTCTCCAACGACTGCTGCTCCCTCACCACTCCCTGAGCATCACAAGTCAGACAGAAAAAGGCAAACTAGGGGGATTCTGGAATATTTCAGTTCCCTCTTCACAAATTACCAGGGCCAGGGAATTAAAACATGAAAAGAACATTAAGTAATGACACATTTTCACGAGATTTTTGACCCAGAAGTCCAACCTTGGACTCTGTGCCATGCACATCTGTGTGTGTCTATAGGGGAGTGTTACTTTCACTTTTAAACCTCATAAACATGCAGTTTTCCACTGAAAATTATTTCCCCATTAAGCTTTCTTACTTTAAATATAGACTAGTCAAGGATTCATTCCCTTGTGCCCCTGAGTGGGCTTTTTAAAACAGATGCTATTATGGCACTTAACTCTTCAAGAGTTTCACATATTTTATTAAATAGACAAAGGAATTTTAATTAAAAACATAATTCAAGTACACCTGAAAGTCCCTTTACTTGTTTTTACATTATACTCCCGAGTCCCTCTGAGGGTTTCAGCAGGAGATATATGCAGAATGTTTGGATTAAGTGGGAATTTGGTAATTCAGCAAGTCTCTGGGAGAAATTTGCACAACAGGAAAGTAAAAATTACAACTTCAAATGAGGTGTAAAAATGAAATCTTAATTATGCAGCTACTCCAGATCTCCTATGATCTGTACAACCACTGGGGTTTGGGGTTTTTTTTGGTAAATGCTGTATTAAGCAGTTGGCATCTTCTCCTCCTTGAGGAGGAGCTTGTATTTCAATGGCAGATAAGTAATTTCTGTGATTCATCACAGGTTTGGAGGTTTTTAGAGCTTTAGGATTTTTTTGGGACAAGCAGCTGTATCATAAAGGCACATTACTGCTTCTAGGAAAGGATGAGTTGTTTTGCATTTGAAGCAAAACCTTAATTGATGCACTGCTGACTTCCTCCAAAACTTCACTAAATCACAAATTCTACACTCCCAGCACTACCAACAAGTTGCTAATAATAATTAATCTGTATTTAGTTTTAGCCATGTGGAAATTTTTTTACAAAAATCTAAATAATGACACCTCTAACGACCAACTAAATCCTTGCAAAGAATGCTGAATACATTACACAGCAGAAATGTGTTTGGTAAGCAAGCACACTCCAAAAATAATGCCAATTGGACACTTCTTGCTACTAAACATTTGCATTAAAGGAGAATTAAGGGTGGGCAGAGCTCTCAGCTTTTCTTCACTTGGACAAAGACACTTGGTTTTCAATTTCCCTGTAGTTTTTACTAACTATCAGCTAAATTCAGAGGAAATTCATATTCCTGAGGGAAATGCCTTCCTGGGAAGCCCTGACATGAGAGCCACTGTCCTATCCTGGGAAAATAGTTGTAGAATAACTTCTGGCACCAGGAAACCTCCTCTCTGAGGAGCAGGTATTCACAACAGATCAACACAAAACATGATTAAGATACAAATCTCTAGAAAATCACCAAGGGCTGCGACTTGACAGAATTGAGCGCATCGGTCGCGAGTCACATCCATTTCAGTGGGATCACAGGAACGTGGCTTAAATATTGCAGAAACCTCAGGGGAAAAAGTAACGTGTCTGTTGTAACATGAGGCTTTTTGCACTGTTTTTGGCTGCAGGCATCATGGTGAGTAAGGAGCCCAGCAAATGCTTACTCACCGCCTCGGACAGCGACGTCGAGCCCGCGGCTTCCCTGGCGCTGGAGATGAAATACGCGCTGGATCCCAACCGGCAGATCAAGAAACGGAACAAAGCCCTCCAGGTGAGGTTCAAGGATATCTGCGAGGCTCAGAACGAGCAGAGGGACAAGCAGCTCTCCACCTCCTCCACGCAGGACCCCGACAAGAAGGAGGCCAAGGCCATCTCCTACAAGACGGCCTACCGCAAGTACATGACAGTGCCCGCCCGCAGGTCCATCCCCAACGTCACCAAGAGCACAGGAGTCCAGACTTCCCCTGATCTCAAAAAGTGCTACCAGACCTTCCCTCTGGACCGGAAAAAAGGGAATATTCTGAAAAGCGCCGCGACCGTGGACACGTTACCGAGCGAGAACAACGGGTTCCTGATCGAGGTGAAGGACAGGGAGGGCCGGGGCGCGGGCGAGGCCGCGGCCTGGGGCCGGAAGGCCGGCAGCCTGCAGACGGCCGAGTTCATCTCCCACATCTCCGAGCGCGCCGCGCACGACAACGGCGCCGAGGCCTGGAAAAGCAGCAGTTTGCACAGTTCTCCCAAAGAGCCTCCTCGACCCAACTTGGCCGAGCCCGGCCGGGAGGAGCCGGCACGGCCCTCCGGCCGGGGCAGAGCGGCGGCGGCGCGGCTGGGGAGCGACGAGGCCGCCCAGCCCCTCCACGGGAGGGTCTTCAAGACTGAGGTGGCCACGGTTTACCTGCCGGCCTCGCAGCCCGACCTGCCCGGCCTGGGCGACTGGGGGCCGTGCCCCGAGGAGGACGACAAGAGGACGGTGCAGCTGAACGGGGTGCAGCCCCCGGCCGGAGATGCCCGAGCGTGCGCGGCGCGGGCGCAGTGCCCGGCCCCCGAATGTAGTGACCAGAGCCTGCAGGTCAACGTGGCGTCCATGGAGGAGAGCCAACCCTGCCGGACGGCCGTGGCCGTGAGCCAGGAATGCCAACAAATCGTGCCTCACACCGAAGTTGTGGACTTGAAAGCGCAGCTTCAGATGATGGAGAACCTGATCAGCTCTAGTCAGGAGACCATCAAAGTGTTGTTGGGTGTTATACAGGAGCTAGAGAAGGGAGAAGCTCACAGGGAAGGGTGAGTAGAATCTTTTTTTAATGAGTATGAGCTGATTGAAATGTCTTTTCCACCTTGAGTTTGCTGATGCCAACGCATCCCTGCCACCACGCATGTGGCGCTCCTCACACGGAGTTTTGCTGCTTTAGGAGAAACCTGCCAGCAGCATTCAGATTGCTATCTGCCAGTCCCAGGGTGTAATTAAGTAATTATTTAACGAAGGGCCCATAATACATCTTCCTGTGCCTTTTCTAAGGAGCACAGAATGAGCCGCTCTCCAAACAGGATTAGCGAGGATGTTTTCACATCAGCAACTTGCATTAGCCATAATTCCTCACATGGCATGAAAAGCAGCAGCAAAACCTTAATTCTGTAAGAGACTTACCTTTTTAAGATTAAGGGATATTATTACAACTCCCAGTGTAATTCCCTTAATGGCATATGAATCTTGCCTGTTTTCCTTTCACCTGAATTTTTCATGGTATTTTTATCAGAAGGAAATGAAATGAAAACTTTGAATATCAAAGTCTTTTTCATAACTTTCACACAGCCCTAAACATGACAAACCCAAGAAGAAAGAAACAAAATTGCATTTAACCCTAGCTTTCATTATTTAAATTAACCCATAAGGCGTTACAAGTACTGAACTGTAACTCAGTACAACCTTTAGTCTTTACCTGGACAGTTCAACCCATCTTTTATCACCTTAACCAATATTTTGCAGACTGACTCGCCTTAGTTCCCTCATCTTTATTCAGTGAACATACCTGAAAAATGTATGTGTGCTGTTTGTGTGTTTTGAAATACTTCTGTAGTTAAATCATAATTTGCCAGAAGAGATCAGGGCTTTAAAATTAAAATACCAGCAGCTCATTCTACAAAAGCAGCACCTGCTTTTGTTCAAGTCAGAAAGGTACATCTTTAATTTAAATTTCTTTAGGAATGTAGGAATCATGTGAATCCTTAAACTCAACATGTCTGGCATTAAAAAGTCATCTTAGCTGGATCCTGCTGTCAACAAGGCTGTTGTGTTGTTAGTTTATTTTACAGCTGGTTATATTATTATTTATATCCTTACCAATTATCAGTATCAAGGACCTTATCAAGTCCTGGATAATCAGACTGGGACGTTTCTTGGCCTGAAAGCCACGCAGGTTTCAAGATCTTCTCCAACCAAAACAATTCTATAATTCAATTTTTTTTAATTATTATTCAGAAAAAGAACTCCCCTGATTTTCTTAACTTAGAGAAACTGCAGGAGCTTTGGCAAGAAGTGCCAAGCTGCTTTTCAAATCACAAAATACAGAAAACTATTTCATCGTCATAACTCATCACCCGCTTGTCGAGAACCGTGAGTGCACAAACACCCACATCAGAGCCACCTGCTATAAATACTCTGCTTCCTCCACACAACTACATATCCAGATTGTATCCCTTCCCAAAGACAGTACAGCCACAGGTGCAACAAACATAATAAAAACAGACTTTTTATTGCCCTGACAGAGCAGAGCTGTTAATGCAGCCAACGTCAGGAGTGCATCCCTGCCCTTGGCCCAAAACAGATCTTGGCCAAACTATCCAGGATTGTCTTCAGATAATTCCTCTGCAGCTGTCAGCCTTACAAAGCTGTATTAGCCCTAAAATGGTGAAATTATCCATAAATCCCAGTTTAGAATATCTTTACAGCCTCTTAGGCTCTGTACTGGAGTTTCCAAGGCTCCACCTGACCAGGAAGAGCCTGTTTAACAGCGCTGCTTTACACCTGGAGCCACCTCCGGCTGCTCCTGCACGTGCCCCAGACACATCCCAGACCTGCTGGGCACAGAGGGTGTCAGGATGGGCAGGGAAGGAGAAGGAGGGAGATGCACACTCACACATTTTCATATCCCTGCATTCCAGAGCCTTCTGATTTTGTGGCTGTGGATGATTTGGAAGGAGACTGCACAGCTTTGTGCTCGGGACCTTCCGCAGCGATGCCTCTCTCCAGAGCTGGGAGAACACTCTGTTCTCCTGCAAACACCAACACATCATTAACACACAGCCTGCCTTTATCCCCAGCTCCCTCAAATTACACAACTCCTGCAATAATAGGCCGCCCCATCCTTTTATTAGAATAATTCCTGCCAATTGCTGCATTCATCCTACACCATCTTTGCCACAGATCCTGTGTAAACTATTACGTATCTCCTCAGTGCCAGCATGGTGAGCTTTTTTCCTGTTGCAACCAGGTTTTAGGTCAGTTTAGATTAAGAAATTAAAGCAGTTCTGCTGTTTATTGTAGCATCTTCCATCTGCTAGAACAGCAAGAAATGTTTTGTACTTACGGAACTCACCTGCTTTTCTGATGTACATTAAATTCCTTACAATAACACACAACAAGAAACAAATACAAATAACACACTGCTGGGAAAGGAAAAAAATATGAAGGGAAAAAAAAAAAACACCAAAAGCAAAAAACAAAGCCCCAACTAAATTTCTTAATCAGATTTTTCTGCCTTTAAGGAAATCAGTGTTCTTTAAGTGCTGTTGCAGTGCCATGGGACTGGTGCTCAGTGGATTCATTTTCACTAATATGCTGTAGGTCCTGAACTGCTATTACTGCAATTCATCACTAAATGAGTCGATGCCAGCAGAACTGCAGCAGCATCTCTGAAGGCAGCAGTCTCATCCTTTGGGTGCCTATCATCTATGTGTGCTTTTGAAAATGTCAGTGCTCCATCATCTGCAATTAGCAACAACAGCCAGCACTCAACTCTGCTCCAAGGGAAGGGGAAAGCCACTGGAGCAGGAGGGGAAGCACAAAAACTGTGATCCCCCTCCCAGTTTCAAAGGACATTATTAAAATTCTGTGTTATGTGCATCGCTATTTACTAAATCCTTGGCAAAATGGCTGTTCTACCTCTCTGTGTGGAAGCTTCGACAAAAAAAGCAAATTACATCCCAGCAAACATTGCTGGATGCCTTAAGTCATGCATGAAGGAAGTGCAGAGCTGCAGCTTCAATTAAGAGTCCCAGCTCAGAGTTAAAAAAAAACATTGAATATTACATGATGCAGGGTGCAGCTTTACAACACAAACCCAGCCTTATGCTCCAGTTTTATTCTGATAAATCATCAGTGATCTCACTTTACAGACATATTTGTCTGTGTTCAGAGGGAGAATTTAGGAAGCCAAATGTGTGGAGCATCACTAAGGCTGATAGGACTGCAAGCACAACGCAAGTTAATCATTCTAAAACCTGGCTAACAAAGATCTGTGAAATAGAGAACAGAAGATGAGCACATAATCAGAATTACTTTGCTGCTGGAGAACAGCAGTGACCTGCCCTTTAAATCCTTCCCGTGGAAGGAACAGTAATCTGGGCCCTCCTCATTATACAACAAATCACCAATTTTAATAAACAAAGTGCTCAATTTGCCACACAAAAACAAGTCACAGTATTTTGACTCTGCCAGGCCAAATGCTACACACCAGACAAGAGTTAAATGAACCTGTTTCAGAGCTAATTTGCATTCCTCTATTAGTCAGCAGTGGTTCAGGAATTTAAAGAGCTCTCAACAAACTCCTTCGAAGACGTTGTCATGGATGGAATTTAAATGTCATTGCATGTTTTTCAATGACTAAGGGAGTTTTGTGCCTCACATGCTCATTTCTGAGCAGAAAATAAGCCCATTTTGTGTGTCTGGATGGAGGTTTGCACCCAAGGGAAGGGGAGAGCAGGGAGCATCCTCACCCAGCGCTGCCTGAGCTGCACTGCTCCTCAAGGTCACCCCAACTGATCCTCCTGCTCAGCAGAGATGGCAAATCCAAGTCAGGGAGCCAAAGCAATTATTGCCTGGCTTGTTTGCTCTGCTCCCAGCCCTGCTCTTCAGAGCAGACCAAGGAGACAGAGCAAATCAAGGCAGGAACAACCTCCATCCCCTCACCTTCCAAACCTGGAGATCCTTATTCCACAGTGGGGAAAAGGAAGCTTAAAAGAGTTCACAAGAGCAGAGCCTCTGAAAGCACAGGGCTTTGGGAGTGATGTGCCAGCTGCAGGAATGGCAGCACAGCGCTTGGGTTGGGATTTCCCCCCTCTGCGGCTTTGTTTTGCCTCTTCTTCAATTACAGCCCTGGCAAAGGGAACGTTTAGCAGGATCATTTCTAAGAGAAAACCTGGAAATGGAGGGAAACAACAGATAAGCTTAACTACAAAAGACAGCTCACTAGAAATAAATACATGAAAAGCAGAAAGAATAGAGCAAATTGCATCTGGGATGCACAAATTGTGTCATATTCTGAGTGACTGCAGGTTTTGGGACACTGTAAGAACAGCCTGGAAAGAGGACTGTGATGAGAGCCTTTATTTTCTGCTGTGACCTTTTCACATCCATCCATTCTGCCTGGAATCCTCTCTGAAATGGTCACACTCATTTCATTATCCCCAAAACCACCTCCTCAATTCTTCCCTCTTTTCTCTCTCTGGAGCTGCAGCATTTTTTTGTATTTTTTTTATGTTTTGTATTTTTGCCATCATTTACAGCTCATTCCCAAACACCTCAGAATATGTAATAGTTCACCTTCCTGAGGCAGAGCCAGGGAATCTCTTGGGATGCACCTTTTTTAGCCAAGAAAAGGAGTAATTTTGCACAAATCAGAGTTTTGTGGAGCTTGTGATGCTTGGGCCAGTGATGGTTGAGTGCTGCTCACTCAACCCAATGCAGGAGCAGCACAAAGACACCGAAAGTCCATTTACCTGCCCTCAACATAAGAAATTTGGTTTTCCAAGCTCTGAACCAGCCCTTTCATGCTCCCCCAAGCACAGCTGGAGCAAAGCAGGCCCACACTGACACCTCAGCACTGGAACTATTCCATTATATCCCAAAACCCCATGGAGATTATTCCAGTACCTGCTGCCACTCCATGGGATCCCCTTGACCCCTCTTATCTAAAATTCTCTCATGTAAAAAAATCCCAAACCAACCAACCAATGAAAGCTGATGATATAAGACTGATCACTGAAATATCCACTATCACTGAAGG